TTCATTTTCGGTCTATACGGAGAAGAATTGTGATGTTTGATCTTAAATTGAGTGCATAACTCCCTGATCATGACATTGTTCAGGTTAATCACATTGTCGGTGATGATCCTTTCGGCGATACCATAACGACATATGAGGTTGTGTCTGATGAATCTGGCTACCACATTCTTGGTGACTGAGGCAAACGAGGCAGCTTCGACCCATTTGGTAAAATAGTCGATGGCGACAAGAATGAAGTGATGTCCATTGGAAGTCATATGTTTGATTTCTCCGATCATGTCAATGCCCCACATTGCAAATGGTCACGGAGTGGTCATGACATTCAGAGGGATTGGAGGTACATGGACCTTGTCAGCATAGATTTGGCATTTGTGACAAGTTCTTGAATGTTGATGATAATCGGTCTTCATCGTTGACCAATAGTAACCTTCTCTTAAGATTTTCTTAGCCATCGTATGTCCACTTGAGTGAGTACCAAAAAGGCCATCGTGCATGTATTCCATAATTTCCTCTGCCTCCTTCTTGTCCACACATTGGAGTAGAGTTGAATCATGGTTGCGCTTGTACAATATCCTGTTACTTAGGAAGAATTTGGCTGCAAATCTTCGTAAGAACTTTCTATAATTGATAGATGCCCCTCCTGGATACTCTTGTGCTTCAAGGTATCTCATCACCTCATGGTACCATGGCTTTTCCGCATCGGTATCGAGCTCATAACAATGTGCAGGTTCATCGAATCTTTCAATTGTTATAATAGGGGCTTCATTGTCCCATCTGACTTTGAACATTGAAGACATGGTTGCCAAAGAGTCAACCAACTGGTTTTCTTCTCTAGGGAAGTGCTTGAACGTGATTTCTTCGAAGTAAGGAATTAGGGATAACACAAGCTCCTTGTAAGGGATGAGATTAGGGTGTTTAGTGTCCCAATCTCCTTTTACTTGACTGATCACCAAGGCAGAATCTCCAAACACATCCAAATGCTTGATCCTTAAGTCAATGGAAGCTTTCAGACCTAAGATGCATGCTTCATACTCAGCCATATTATTTGTGCAATCGAAGCATAGTATGGCAGTGAAAGGAGTATGGCAACCTTCAGGAGAGATGATCATAACACCAATTCCGTTACCTAAGGCGTTGGAAGCCCCATCGAATACCATAGTCCATCGGGATCCTTGTTCAGGTCCGTCATATGGTCTAAGTTTCGCACAGTCGGTTACCAGCATAATATTCTCATCAGGGAAGTCGAAGTTCATTGACTGATAATCATCCACAACTTGATGGGCCTGATCTGCTAGTACACTTCCTTTAATGGATTTTTGATTTGTGTATTGAATGTCGTACTCAGTCAAGATCATTTGCCATCTGGCTATTCGTCCAGAAAGGGAAGGTTTCTCAAAGATGTACTTGATTGGATCCATCTTAGAAATCAACAGAGTGGTATGAGTCAACATATACTGTCTTAGCCGGCGAGCATCCCATGCCAGAGTGCAGCAAGTTTTCTCGAGCAGTGAATATCTGGTTTCACAGTCGGTAAACTTTTTGCTCAGGTAATAAATAGCATGCTCTTTTCGGCCAGACTCATCATGTTGGCCCAAAACACACCCCATAGAATTCTCTAGTACTGTCAAGTACATGATCAAGGGTCTTCCTTCAACTGGAGGCATGAGAATAGGAGGTTCTTATAGGTATTCTTTGATTTTGTCAAAAGCAATCTGGCATTCATCGTTCCACCTGACTACCTGATCTTTCTTCAAGAGTTTGAAGAGTGGCTCACAAGTAGCAGTTAAGTGTGATATGAAACGGGTAATGTAATTGAGACGACCCACGAATCTTCTGACTTCTTTTTCAGAATGAGGGACTGGCATTTCTTGGATGGCCTTTATCTTGGCAGGATCAACTTCAATTCCTTTATTGCTGACAACAAAACCTAGAAGCTTTCCAGAGCGTACTCCAAACGTGCACTTGTTAGGGTTTAACCTCAGCTTGTACTTCTTCAGTCTTTCGAATAGTTTGTGCAGGTGATCGAGATGTTCTTCTTTGGTTTGTGATTTGGAAATCATATCATCCACATATACCTCTATCTCATAATGAATCATGTCATGAAATAAAGCAACCATAGCCCTTTGATATGTTGCCCCTGCATTCTTTAATCCGAACGACATGACCTTGTAGCAGAAGGTGCCCCATTGCGTGACGAAAGTAGTTTTTTCCATATCTTCGGGAGCCATCTTTATTTGATTATAGCCTGAGAAGCCATCCATGAATGAGAAGACCTTATGCTGAGCAGTATTATCGACTAAGACGTCAATGTGTGGTAGAGGGAAATCATCCTTGGGGCTTGCCCTATTCAGATCCCTATAGTATACGCACATGCGAACTTTCCCGTCTTTCTTTGGCACTGGCACTATATTGGCCACCCATTGAGGATAGGATGTTACATCTAGGAACCCTGCATCAAACTGTTTCATTACTTCAGCTTTGATCTTTTCAGACATGTCAGGCCTCATGCGACGAACTTTTTTTTAACATGAGGGCAGTCTTCTTTAGTTGGCAGACAATGAACCACGATGTCGGTATCCAACCCAGGCATATCTTCATATGACCAAGCAAATAATTCCACATAATCGTGCAACATCTGAACCAAACGGCTCCTAAAACTGCTTTCCAAATTAGCGCCGATCCTAATTTCCTTCTGTGATCGGTGGGAATGAGAACTGACTGTTTTGGAATGCTGGTTCGCGTTTGTGTTTGTTTTCGCAAAATGTCGCGGTAAGCAAGAGTTGCCACCGTCTTTTATTTTATCCAACAAGGAAAGGACAAAAGTGAAACAACCGGCTGAAAATCATCAAACAATGAAGTCTCCATCGAACGTCTTTTATCCCACATGTAGGGAAAGGTAAACATCGAGAAAACCCGAGAAGGATGAAATCAAGGTCGAACGACCAAGAGATAAGGGTAAGGGAGTCTGTTACACGAGGGGAAGGTATTAGCACCCCACGCGCCCGTAGTACTCTACGGTATCCACTCTTGTTGTCTATCTTATGGGTGTGTTGAATCTATGGTTACTGTTTACTATACTACTGGAGGAATGCATGCAAAAGAAAGGAGAAAAGAATGTAGGGAAAATAAAATTGTGCTCGCCTGGGCCCTACCCCAATGCCTACGTATCCGTTTTAAGGAATCAGAGCATCCGTAGTTCGGCTTATGTGTTTTTGTTTGTTTGTATTTTCTTTAACGAACAATATTAATCTCGCCTTCTGCCGCAACTCGACCTTTGGAGATTTACGCGTCAGCACAAAATTGAATTAATACGCTCTTTTGAAAAGGGTTTGAAAGAAAGGCCCGAGGGCAAAAAGATTTTTTATGTTTGTTGGTGTTTTTGCTTGTAGATAATAGCTAGTTAACCTCAAGAGAGAGAGATTTTAGCCATTTCTCTACTTATTCATGAAATGAGTCTTTGAGACTTAAATCATACCAAAGCTTAGAATAAGAGAATAATAATGTCGAGAAGAAACTCGCTCATCATCTCTCAAACTTAGCCAAGACATGGTTTTTGTCAGTAAATTTTTATGTATTTTTGAAGTTTGTAAAAAAAAGTTTTTTTTGTTTTAACTGCATATGCAAAGGAGGAAAGAAAGTCACAGGAAGACAAAAGTCACAGGAAGACGAAAGTTACAGGAAGACGAAAGTCACAGGAAGACGAAAGTCACAGGAAGACGAAAGTCACCGGGAGACGAAAGTCACAGGAAGACGAAAGTCACAGGAAGACGAAGTCACAGGAAGACGAAAGTCACAGGGAGACGAAAGTCACAGGGAGACGAAAGTCACAGGAAGACGAAAGTCACAGGAAGACGAAAGTCACAGGAAGATGAAAGTCACAGGAAGACGAAAGTCACAGGAAGACGAAAGTCACAGGAAGACGAAAGTCACAGGAAGACGAAAGTCACAGGAAGACGAAAGTCACAGGAAGACGAAAGTCACAGGGAGACGAAAGCTATTTCTAAATCTAATGTTATCGTGTATTAGACCTAAAGTTAGAATCTTGAGGGAATTCTACCTAGAAAGTAGTAAAGTGCAGGAGTAAAAATAGAGTTGTGACGATACCGAACGGAGAAGGTCCGTTGCCTCTTCAAAATTGTGCAAGCGGTAAGGAAATTCTATCAACGTTCCCTTGGGCAAGTGATTGAAGAATTAACCCCGAGTATTCCATACTGCCAGAGTTATGTTGATGCTATCACAAAAATCTTAACTAAAAAGTGGCAATAAAAATGATTACCAAATATGAGAAATAAAATAGTAAAAAATTCTAATCGAAATTCTAAAATAGAAATTCTAACGAATTCTAAAATATTCTATTATTTTGTATCATTTCATTATGAATTGAGAGAGAAAATTAAACTAAAAGAAAAAAAAACTAAAACAATAAAAGAAAAGAAAAAATTAGAAGAGTTAGGGGGTATGAAGTCTAGAAATATGGGTGCTGAAGTAATTTTCCCAAAAAGATTTTCAACATTTTCTTTATTATTTACTTAGTTATTATTATTATTTGTTTGAAATAAAAGAATAATAAAACAATGCAACAATTAAAAAGAAAAGATATGTAAAAATGAAAAGGGAGTAGGGTTTGAGAGAAAAGAAAGTCTCTTCCTCTCCCTCACGAACAGCGCCGTCGGTCTCTCACTATCTCCGATTTCCAGTCACGGAGCCTCCGTCTCTTCATCCGCCGTGCAAACCTCATTGGATCAAGAATTTCCAAACACCAATCTCACCCGAAATTAACCCCTGAGTCTAAATCCGAACTTAATTTTTGCCAACTCTTCTTCATAATCCTTCCTATAGATCAACGTCCGAAAACCCTAAGTATCCTTGAAAATGGAAACTAACTGGTAATATGCGTGCCTCAGCCTACGATTCCATGGGGTTATAGTTACTTGAGCTTAATGCTCCGTAGTTGTAACAAAAGCTAAGCAAAGAGATGACAAAAAGAGGTGATCCGGGAGTTACCTATCGGAGATCGTCCGATACGTATCAACGGAGGCGAGTAGAAGTAGAAAACCAGAGATACTGATGTAGACTTCAGGTATAAAATCTTTGGTTCTTTCGTTTCCTTGCGATACCGTCTTCTGCTTTTTTCTGCTTTTCGAATGCTCGTCCTTCTTGACGTCAATGTTGCTGTGAAATTGCAGCGATGAAGCAATAATGGTGACTATATGAATATTGTTGCAGATTATTGATGAAGAAGGGAGATGAGTTTTCATAGAAATCTTCAGATGAATATCGACGGGATATTGCAGAGAAGCATAGATAGAGTTGAAGTTGTTGATGGAGGTTGAAGATGATGTTGGAGCACTGAGAATTTTTATGGAGATTTTCTTGGTGTGGATTCTTCAAAAATGGTGAAGAATGAGATGATTGAGAGGTAATAAAAATCCCTTTTTTTGTGTTGAATCCTATTCTATTCTCTCCCTCTTTTTCTATTTGTGATCTCCCTCTATATGCTGGAAGTTTTGTTATTTATAAGCCATGAGTTGGTTATGTGGTTAGTTAATTCTGTTAGGAAGTTAAGATGCAGTTAGAGTTAGTTAGAGTTTGTTAGGAGTTGAGGAAGTTAGTTACAGTAGTTAAGAGATGAGCTGGAAAATCTGTTAGAGGGGAGGTTATGTGTTAGTTTTGGAATGAAGAGTAGCTAGGATACTGTTTAGTTATTTTTCTGCTGGACAGTTAGGGAATATGACAGTTTAGTAACAAATTAGTTAGAAATTCTATTGTGAAAGGAGGTTAATGGATTTAGCTAAGTTTGTTGAAGGCAATTTTGTTATTAAGAGGTAATATGCTATGTGAAGAAGTTAGTAGTTGAACGAAAATGTTAGTTGGTGTTACCATGCTGTTGATTAGCAAGCATGCAATCTGTATTATTTGGAAGCAACTTGCATTGAATATTTAGATCAACATCTTCAGCAGTTGATTGCTTCTGCTTTTTGCATTTACGCCTCTTCCAACTACATGGCCTAGATCGCTTCCCAGTCCTAGTTGTAACACAATTCAAGTCTGGTTTCCCTTCTGACTCTGACTTCTTTCAATTGCAGAGCTCTTGTCTGGTGTCTCATAGAGGAGACCACCATCTTCAGGAACAATAAGATTCCGTTTCCGAAAAGATGCAGCCACAACCTGGCACATTCTTGGGGTTGTAAGACTTAAAGGCATTATCCTTCGCATTTAAAATATCAGCTGGGATGAGTGTTCCAGGAGCAGCCATGAGATCAACTAAAAACTCCCTTTCATCATCTAATTTTATAATGTTGACAGCATCATCCTCAACACCAGTGTAATGACTACCTTTAACCAGTCTACAAGGCATCTGAATGTTGTCTGCTAATATCTTGAAAAGTAAAGCGCGATGCCTAGAGAGCCCAATATCTAAGGACCCAAGAGGTAATACACTTGTGTGAAGAGATGTCCTTAATTCTGTACTTCTTTCTGTCCATTTTGTTAATATAATATTAGCATCTTTTACAGGGCCGCCCATATGGCTAGTAACAAGTTCAGCAACCCTTTGCACCAAAATACCAATCTTAGAGACATGGCAGTCCAATGTTATACAGTATGCAATTTGCACCAGCTCGTCCAGGGCAGGATCAATTGTCCTATTAACTATGACTACTTCAAAGCTAGAACCACCTGAGTTTGTTTCAAGATCAGCTAGAGATGGCATCTTTCCTTGCATTGCTGGGTCATTATAGAGGCCATATATGTCATAAAAACCATCAACTACTTTCTCTTCATAGTCAAGCACATTGTATTCCCAATACTGCCTCGAAAGCGCCTCCACAACATCATCCTTATTGGAATCAATCCGATGTCCTCCCAAACTGAGTAGCGTTGCCGCATGGATCTGATCCTTCTCCGGATCATCACCACGGAACTCCGAATTGGAAGCACTGATAGCTAGGATAAATGGGCAAGCTTTCCAATTGCCAGTATTCTTCTTAAGCACAGGCCTCCCTTTAAAGTCGACCGAGCCATCTCCTGTGTATAGCTTACTTTCTTCATCCTGAATAAGCGCTTCTTCCAAACGCGAAGAATCGTCCTATACGGAACCCATAGATATGAGGCTTCAAAATCCTCTTTCAGTTTCTGCTTCTTTCCACCTTCTGACAGCAGCATAAAGCTTTGCTAACAGAACATAATTTCCAGTGTTTTCAGGTTTAAGCTCAAAAGTCCACCTAGCAGCTACCTCTCCCAGTTCAACATTTTCATGTATTCACGCGAGCACCAAGTAGTGCACCCCATATCGCATGGTTGTGTGTTATAGGCATTATTCTAATAAGATTGTAAGCATCATTCAGTCGACCCGTACGGCCAAGAAGATCAACAATGCATGTATAATGATCAACACGAGGAGTAACTTGGTATTTTTTTGTATGAATGTGCAGGTCATAAACTGAAGATGGAGAACTTTGGCATGGCATGGAATTAGAAGCTTACTCATGGAATCTTAGCATCTTTAGGACTAAAGAATTTTGTTCAAGTGTATTTTGTAATAGTTTTTTTTTTGTGTAAAATATTGGTGTGATGGGATTGTAATGAATGTTTGGTTTGGATGAACTTGAAATTTATAGTGTGAATTGTAAATGACCTTTGAGCTTGAAATGTTGGGTGATGAATTTTAAGGATGGAGTTTAAATGACAAAGTCTTGAAAAAATGCTTGAAGACATGAAAGCATCAAATTTTCTTGTAAGGTATTGTTACACTTGAATGAAATTGAATGGAATTGGATAGTATTTTCTTGAATCATGAATGAAAGGGTTCGAATGAACTTTGAACACATGTCAACTTGAATCTGGAATAACGATGAACGTTTTTGTAATGCGTATAAACTCCGACTTGAAACAAGACCTCGCAGTCTGTACTTTACCTTCCAAGAAACTCATATGACCAATACTTAAGGCTCTTTCCCAATTTTAATCCAATCAAACACTTTCAAACATCTTGAACTCAAATCAAACTTCAAATCCAAATCACACTTGCATTCTCAATGAACTCCTAACTTCAATCTTGAAACCCTCACAATCTTGATTCCTCGTTCAGACGCACAGAGAAATATCCAGATAAAACATCTTTGAACCATGATTCAACAAAACCTAATTTGATTAACTGAGGAGTAGATGATTGTCATGTCACAATCATTAATCCTAATCAAATGACAAGCATACTTATAGGAAATGACGTCATGATTCGAATCCCACATATGCTAGGTCACGTCCTAGAGTTCTTGACCAGAATGACCTACAATCGGTTGTTTATCAGAAGATAATAGCCTTGCTGCTTGAGGGAGAAGAAGTCCTTTATTGGATATGAGTGCCTTAACCACTATGAAACCCTAGTATCGTACAACCACTGAACTTTGAACCTCAGAGCTATATTGAATGAAATGTATGCCATGTTAGTGACCTAATGAAAAAGATGCAGATGAATGCAAAAGTCTAAGCCAAAATAAAGGAAATTAGGAGGGAAAATTTTGGGGTGCAACAGCTGCCCCTATTTAATCATCTCCGATCCTGAAGGTGAGATTGGCGTCAGCCTTTCGAACTTTCAGGGTGGAAGAAGATTAAATACTAAAAGAACCCGAAAATTTGCGCTCCGAAGCCAGTCAGGTATTATTATATCTTTGATTTTTCTGTATCTTCTGCATATATTTTTTTTGGTAAAAAGGATTATCAGGGTTAGATGTATGTTTAACCAGAGTTTGACACACCGAAGGATAACTTGGTTATCGAGGAACTTCTGTTGGGATTTAGTAACAAACACCTGTAAGAAAAATATCAAAAGGTATATGCCTGAAATCTGTAGCAGACATACGAAAAAAAAAAGACACATATCCGGGGTTGGTAGCGGATATACAAGAAAGAGACATCAAAAATACATATCCGTGGTTGGTATCGGACATGTAAGAAAGAGATAGAAAAGATACATATCCGTGGTCGGTATCGGATACGCACAAAAGAGACAGACCAAAGAAAGCTCTTGCAAAGAAAACACCAACCGAAGGTGAACTTACAACTACAAAGAGACCAGCCGAATGGGACTCCGGACAAATGATGTCAATCGAGGGTGGATTTAAAAGAAATGACACCATCCGAAGCGAGATTTTGACAAAAGATACCAGCCGAAGTGGGGTTTTGAAAGATACAGGTATGCATGTCTGGTCAGAGTTAGATACACAAGAGCGAAGTTGATCATCAAGAAATAAATGTTTAGAATTGCTAGCGAACACAGGAACGAGACTAACCAAAGAAAGCCCAAAAAAAAAAGGCGCATTCGCCTAAATAAGGATGCTAGACAACTAGACTTTGAAGAGACACTGAAAGACTCTTAATCATAAAAGATTAGCTAGGCTAACGAAAGGAGGACCCGACTAACGTGGATAAACCAAAATAAGGAACCGACTAAGAAGGACCTTCAAAGAGCACTGATCGAATGTGTACTCTGCAAGAGAAAGGTACTGGTCCAAGCAGACTCTAACGAAAAAAAACATGTTAGGCTTTCGATAGGTTGCAAATACGCAAGAACTAAAAAATCCCTCAGGCCAAAGGAGGGGTGTAATTCTTCAAGAGTGGCAATCATCTGAATTACCACACACCAAGTATGGACACTCAAATACTTGAGAAATAAGAAAGGCTATACGCCGACTCTTACTCGCACTCTAACGGCAAAGCGAACACAGGTAAAATAACCAAAAGCTTGAAAGGGCAAGCGTAAACCACGATTTACTGGGGAGATGGAGGAATACCAAAGACCCGACTGATGGTGAATCAAAACAAACCCCGCTGGGGAAACATAATAGAGTCACCCTTAGGCTTGTTGTGGAGATAAATCAAATCTGAGCGCATAACAATCTAGTTACCACAAGTGGACATAATTGGCTTATACTTATGCATGTTTGAATTTTTTTTATAGCGTAATGCTCCATACAATAGAAATGCTACACGTTTTAGTAGATGCGATGTAATGATACAATATAATGATGCATGTTTAGTAATGCACTGGGGAGACCACGTCAATAATCGGATGTTGGGAAGACAATGAACTTTCAAATGTTTATTCTTGCACATCTAATCTTCTGTAGAGAACATGCAATATGAACTTCGGTAGGAAATCGAGATTCGAAACCATCAACCTCGAACGATTGATAACATTGAAGAAATAACTTCCTGGGTAGTAATACTGTGAAAAATAAATTGCAGTTTGAGAGAAAATCTTGAATTCTGATCAAACTTCCAAATTCCTGGGGGATAGATACTTTATCTTCTGTTAGAACGGGGAGAGCTTCGCTGGGGATGGAAGCTTTCTCCTGCGCAGAACTTCTTTACGAAGATAGCTTCTACTGGGGAGTATAGAAATTCTTAAATAAATAGAATTCTACTCAGACCACACTGGGGATAACAACGCTGAGGGATAAAAATCTTCACTTGGGGAAGAACCAAACATCCTAGGACAGAAACTCCACCGCTGACATCTCAACAAAATCTTTCATATTCCGGGATGAAGGAGTTAAAATTGGTGCTCCCATGTGCACCATACTGGGGAGAAGATGACACTTGTTCTAGAAAGCATGCTCCACTAGGGAATGAAAACTCGCTTCACTGGGGAAAATACTGCAAAAATAAATTGCAGTTCAGGGAAATTTTCAAACTCTGATCCAACTCCCAACTTCTTAGGGAAAGATCCAACATCTCTTTCCAAGGATAAAGAGAATCTTGCTGGAAATTGGGACCTTCCGATGTAAGTCTTCGATAGAAGTGACTTTGATTGGGGAATCGCAAAATTTTTTTCGTTTTTTTTTTCTTTTTTTTCTTTTCAATAAAATAATTCTACCCAGGCCACACAGAGGATATTACCGTCGAGGGTAACAATCTTCACTTGAGGAAGAGAAGGTCATCTTTGAACCATAAGCTTGAGGTTTAGAACTCTACCGAGGAAATATTTCATCCATATCCCATCACTGGGATGAAAGAATTTTAAACGGCATTTGTCCATGTACTATGCCCTAGAGAAAAATATAGGAGACCTGCTCCGCTGGGCATAACAAACATGTTAATTAAACCTCTCTTCAAGAAAACCTGACTTGGGCAAAACTTCCCTAGGGAGAAAAGATACGAACTTCAGAGAGACGATGAACAGCAACCTCCCTAGGGAGATAAATACCTACCACGGAGAGATATGGTACTGACTTCGAGAGGATATAACAAAGGTCTACAATCCAATGAAATGATCTTTCCAGGATTTATCGAAGTTGAGTAGACTATGCTGATGAAGAAGTTTATACAAAACTTGTTGAAATGCATTTCTTCAGAGATAAGCCTTATGGGAGGGACAAACTCTTAAACAAACTCTCATTGAGAGTACTGACTTCAGTGGGGATTACGCACGGACATACTTTTAATGGAGATAAGGATTTATGTATGGGAGAGAGTACGCCCTTATTGGGGATACATGATTCTGTCTTGAGAAGAAGTGAACATTCACTCGGGAGATTGAATCCCATTCTACATAAATCCTCATGTTGGTCACATGCAGACCTTTCTTGATTCACTTGCTGGTATGCTTCTTGTCATAAAAGACCAACAATACTTGCAAAATAGAAAATTGTGGAAATATGCCCCATGCATGGAATGGAAAACCTTACTGATGAATAAGCAATTTGAACCACCAATCGATGGGTAAAAAAAAATGTGATGCAAGATTACAACTTCATCACGTCAACTCTGAGGAGGAATGCCACTAAAAAGTGGACTTTAGAAGAGATGCTGCAAAAATAAATTGCAGTCCAATGAAAAAGGGGTCAACTAGACTTTAAACAACTTCTATATTTCCGGGGAGAAAGAACATTCTCCTCCTGCAGAGAAACGAGGATAATTCACTGGGGAGAAAATATCTCAGAAGAGAAACCCTTTGGTAGACAGACTTTTGTCAAGTAGCAACGGATCTTTTATTGGGGAGAGGTGTCCTCCTATGAAACGACACTTTCATCACGTCTTGTATGGGTAAACAATCTTCAAATTATCTTTACGTTACTGCTCATATCCTACTGAGGATAACAATCCAAACTTCAACTGGGGATAATGACCTTAACTTAGAACAAAGGATATCAGTAAATGGTCTTGAGTCCCTGATAAATTGAAGATAACAATCTTAACTTCTCGGCATGATTTTCAAATTCATAGGTCGTTTAGCCTATACATGGATGTGATCTGATCAACCACTCAAGAAGAGAGAAAGCCCTTACATGAATTTTTGCCCCAGTCTGTAAGGCTTTTGCAGAAAAATTGCCTCGAGAGGACTTTTTGAGATTTATACCACCAAGATAAACTGCCCCAGTGTTATGAACTTTAGAACATGATGTTCAGATAACCGAAATTGGAGAGGATTCCAACTATGTTTGAGCGAGTGCTTATACACCTTCAAATT